TGCAGGTTATGGGGAAAGAGAGATACTTTCTACTGTCCTCTAATATTATGCATGATTTAAGTTTTCCATAACATTTGTATAAGTCTTTAAAAAAAAACCCATAATTATGGCAGAAGTCATGACAGTGTCTGAGATCTGTGCGAGAATTTACAGCCACTCTGCCTCACAGTAATATGTCCTCATCCTAATCGTGGGGTCTGTGGATATATTATTACTAGTTCCCACAGCAAGACAAAGAAGGCCAGAGAGCTTAAGGCAAGGAGACTGCTGGATTATCCAGCTAGGCCCAGTGTCATCACACAGTTTCTTCAGCAGAGGCTCCCCCAGCTATGGCCAGATGTACCACTGAGGCTTTGAAGAGAAACGAATAAGCCAGAGGAGCCTCCAGGAGACAGCAAAGGTGAAGGACTCACCTCTACAAGCTCCGAGAAGGGCAACCCTATTGATAGCCTGGTTTTATGTACCTAGCCTTTTTTTTTTCCCCTCAAAGCAAATGATTCTTTATTTTATTATTTAAGATTTAATCATCTTTTATTGGAAAGGTAGGTTTACAGAGCAAAATATCTTCCATTTCCTGATTCACTCCCCATGTGGCTGCACTGGCTAGAGCTGAGCTGATCCTAAGACAGGAATCAAGAGCTTCTTCCTGATCTCCCACGTGAGTGCAGGGTTCCAAGGCTTTAGGCAATCTTCTACTCTTTCCCAGGCCACAAGCAGGGAGCTGGATGGGAAGTGGAGCACTGGATATGAGCTAGCACCTGTATCAGATCCTGGTATCTGCAAGGGTAGGATTAGTCAACTGAGTCCTTGTACTGGGCCTGAAAACAGATTTCATATTCACAGACTTGTAATGTAAAAATGTGTGTCACTTTCAGCCACCATGTTTGTGGCAATTTGATGTGGCAGCAACATAAAAGTAATACAAGATCACCCACCAGGAGTGGATGAGAAAAAAGTGGCAGCCCAGGAGATGGAAGAAAGGGCCACGTGAGCAGTGGCGAGGCAAAGGAGACTGCATGGGAAAAGGTTCCAGGGAGAGCGTGAATGCCCAAGAATTTAACCTACTCAATATCTACTGTGAGGGATGAAGGAATTTAAACCTTTACATTTTAAGGTGCATGTTATTCCGTTGCATGGCTGTACCTGTGATGCATCTAATAGCCTCTTTCCTTTGAAATCCATCATCTTTTCTCTCATATTTAAAGTCTGAGAACTTTCACAGCTTCAATCCACATTATAAACAGCATCAAGGTACAACTGAGGTTGCAACACAGCACAGGCTGACAAGTGGAACTACTTCCATGTGGCAGTTAATCCACTTTTGGGAGACAGCCAAATCCAAGAGTGGAAACAGCCTTACAGACTGGATTGACAGAGTTTTATTGTCAAGTACTCAGTAGACTGTCAGTTCTGGTGGTCTTCCATGCCTAAGGGTCCCCCTTAAATCATCGTGGTGCCTGAGGAAGAGGTGGACCACTGGTGGGAGCATGGAGACATGCCAGTCCCATGTGGGCAGGGCTGCAGCTACAGAGGGAGCTGCAGGACTGCTGCAGAAGCAGAGGCCTATATGCGAAGGTTCTGTCCACACCTACCACCCCTCCCTATACTTTAGATTCAAAATAACTGTTCCTCATTACAATGTTTACTCGCTACAAATGATCTCCACTACCAATGTGGAAAATGGTAAATTATTTAATCCAGACAAGATTGCTGATGCCTCTGATTATTCCAGAAAATGTTTACATGCTAACCGGCAATATTTACAAAAGGAGAGGGATGTTAAATGTGTATTTTCAGGCTCTAAGAAGAAGCGAAGAAGCATGTAAGAGGAGTGCATTCTCATTTGAGACAGTGCAGAGCTAGCTCCCAACGGCTTCTCCATTCCCTAGAGGTGTACAATGGCTGAGGCTAACATCAGGAGCTGTTAACTCAAACCAGCTTCTATATGGGTAGCAGGAACCCCATAACTTAAACCACTACTGCTGTCTCAATTGGCACTAATTTGGAGTCAGGAGCAAGAACTGTGAATGGAACATGTGCACGCCAATAGGAAATACAGGTGTCCAAACTGGTGACTTAATTGCTGGGATTAATGTGTATCCTGAATTTACTCCTCATCTGGCTATGACAACCTGGGCTCAATGCTCATTCTCACATGAGCAATGTGGCACATAGCTTTTTTTTTTTTCTTTCCCTAAATAGTCTATTCCATTCAGTTTTCACAATTCAGAAGAGCTGTCACTTTCTTAAGGAGGGGATGTGTCCCAGATAATGTTGGCTCCTTCTGTTCTAAACTCTTCTGTAACAGTGAACACACCTGCAACTTCCTGCTGAGTGTCTATCACTTTTTTATCAGAATGCAAATTCTACGAGAAAGCAAGGTCTGCCTTCTGTCATTTTCACATTAGTCTCCTTAGTACCCGTAAGAGAGGACATATTCCTAACATTGGCTGAACAAAGAAATCAAAGAGTAATGAGGGCCTGGTGTTCCTGTTCTTGGGTTACTGGTGATTTCTACATCAGTGGTTCCCAGAAATGTAAATGGCAGTGCAGTATATGGACGCTTTGGGGGATAAATGACTAAAATCACAGAGTTTCCCAAATGCAGGAAACGCCCTGTATGCACCTCTGGCCTTGTTCAGTGTGGAGCAATCAAACCTATGAACAAATGGGGCAGATTTTCAGGAAGGGGAATTCCATGAGGGAAGAAACAATCTTAACAGACACTTTTACTCAAAAGAATGAAGCTGAGGACCTAGCATGGTAGTCTAGTGGCTGAAGTCCTTGCCTTGCACCTACAGAGAGCCCATATGGGTGCTAGATCAGTCCTGACTGTTCTGCTTCCCTTCTGGCTCCCCACATGTGGCCTGGAAAAGCAGTCAAGGTTGGCCCAAAGCCCTGGGATTCTGTACTCATGGGAGATCCTGAAGAAGCTCCGAGCTCTGGATCGGCTCAGGTCTGGCCATTGCAGCCACTTGGGGAGTGAACCACTGGACAGAAGATCTTTCTATCTCTCCTTCTCTCTGTAAATCTGACTTTCCAATAAAAACAAATAAATCTTAAAGCAAAAACAAATAAAAAATATATTTTTAAAAAAAACTCACTATCATGAGATTCTATTTATACAGTGTCCAGAACAGACAGTCCTAAATAGAAGAGCCAGTAGTGCAGCACAGTGGATAAAATTGCTGCCTGTGACACCAGACACTATAACAGTGTTTGAGTCGCAGCCGCTCCACTTCCTATTGTAATGCACTCGGGGAAAGCACAAATATCCCAAGTGCTTGAACCCCTGCATCCACCTGGAAGACCCAGAGGAAGCTCTGGCTTCTGGCTTTGGCCTGGCACAACTCTGGCTATTATGGTCATTTTGGGAGTGAACCAGTGGGAAGATCTTTCTCTACCCCCCTTGTTTCTGTCTCTCTCCCTCTCTCTCTCTTTTTTTTTTTTTTAGATTTTTTAAAAATTTATTTATTGGAAAGTCAGATATACAGAGAGGAGGAGAGACAGAGAGGAAGATTGTCCGTCCAATTATTCACTCCCCAAGTGAGCACAACGGCCAGTGCTATGCCGATCCGGAGCCAGGAGCCAGGAACTTCTTCCAGGTATCCCACATGGGTGCAGAGTCCCAAAGCCTTGGGCCGCCCTCGATTGCTTTCCCAGGACACAAGCAGGGAGCTGGATGGGAAGTGGAGTTGCCGGGATTAGAACCGGCGCCCATATGGGATCCCAGGGTGCATTCGAGGAAAGGACTTTAGCCGCTAGGCCATGCTGCCAGGCCCTGTTTCTGTCTCTTAAACTCTGCTTTGAAAGAAAAGATGCAGGTTACTTAAGACTAGGAGCCAGCAGTCAAGTAGTGAGGTAACTTGGGGGAAAATGGGAGGAACTTTCTTTTTGGAGTGACATAACTATTTTGGAATTGTTCTGTTTGTACAACTCTCTGACTATGCTACAAGTCCATGAACCATATACATTAACAGGGTAAATAGTATGGTGGATTAATTATGCATCAGAAAAGCTATTAAACATTTCTTAAAATACGTAACTGAACCTAAAAAAGAAAAATGACTTACGTCAGGTGGGCACTGTGGCTCCTTAGGCTAAACTGTTGCCTGGGACACACATGTCCCATACTGGAGAGCTTCGTTTGAATTCTGCCTCATCCAGCTTCCTGCTCATGTGTCCAGGGGCAGCAGATGATGATGCAAAGACTGGGGTTCCTGGCTCCTGGCTGCAGCCTGGCCCAACCCTGGCTCTGTGGGCATTAGGGGAATGAAACAGCACATGCAAACAAACAACAAAAAGAAACCAATCTCATACTCATTTTCCCAAAGCACATTCTTGTCTCCTAGGACACTAACTCCTGAGTTTACCTGTTTTCCTGGGTACCTGAGACCTACCAAAGGCCCCCCGACAGGATCTCTGATCCTGGTGAACCATGGACCTTCCGGCCTCTTGCAATGGAGACAGAACCACACAATCCTCTCTTAACGATAAATTGTTCTTGAAGCTTGAAGAGTAGCATACAAAATATCTTCTCCTTTCCTGTTGTCACTCCATTAAGGTAATTTCAAACTCACTGGGTAGGGCTCTTTAAGTGATCAGCTCTGAATGTTAGATGCTCCATTTCACATCTTGATGTTCTCTTTCACTGGGCCAGTGCAGTGAAACCCCTTCCTCCTTTATCTAGCAGATAGCAAGAGAGAGTTTCCTGGAGTCCAGCTGCACTCACTAGCTCTGGGGCCCCTGCTGGAGGACCACCCACTCTCAAGCCACCTTACTTCCTTTCTTCATCCACAGCAATCATGCTAGCTGCGGGCTCTGGGAGCAAATCCTGCCCTGGCATGTCAGAGGGAACATGGGAACACATGGCAAAGTCAGGCTGGTGAAGGAGACAAGAAAGCCTGAGACTTTTCTCAGGTAAAACTGCCTAGGCCTAGTGGAGAGTTAGGAGTAAGAGCCATCAGGTATGTGCTGGGATAAATGAACTGCATTAGAAAAAGAGGGAAAAAAACTTTATTGTCAAAGTCCTTGAGATATAAAAGACGCAACGGTAAAACCAAAGGCAACAGAAGCTGTCTCCTGCACGTCAGAGTGCTTGAGGGTAAAAGGCGCTGGGGATGCAAAGGTAGGTGGAAGGGAGACGCAATATTTCTCTAGCTTTAGAAGATCATAGTGTCCAGATCACAGAGCTAATGTTGGTTTTCATTACAGATTCTTTATAAAGCTATTTACCTGGAGGAAAGAGAAAAACCAAAAGTTATTCCATATTTTTAGCCACAGTGCACTCAGAATGCATCCACACCCCAGCCCATGAGGTTTTTACGAGGAAGGGAAATAGGCATGAAGAAGAAACATGGGAGCTATTCAGGGCAATACAACAAACAAGTGGCAGAGCTAGGAAGGGAATCCAGAAGTTTCATTTCTCTAGTTTTGGAATACCTTACAGTAGAAAGTTAGCTGGTAAGCCATGTTACAGGTCAATTACTTAACAACTACAATTAAATCCAACATACATTAGAGAATAGAGAGCATTATCTGTCATTTACAAAAGGTTCCACAGGCTTAAGTATGAAACACATTTCAGATGTGAAACACAGGACCCAATATGCATTACATATGCATTTTAAATTTATTTATATATTTATTTTGGGAGGGGGAGGGAAAGAAAGAGATTTTTTCATCTTCGGGTTCATTCCTTAAATGGCTATAAAAGCAATAGCAAGGCCATGATAAAGTCAGGAGCCAGGAACTCCATTTGGGCCTCCACACAGGTAGTAGGAATCCAATCACTTAGACCATCATCCGCTCCTTCCCCCATAAAATTGGATAGGAAGCAGAGCAGCCAGCATTGAATCCACACTCTGATATAGGATACTGGTGTTGCAGGTGGCAGCTTAATTCACCATACCACAATGCCAGCCCCAAGACCTGATATACTGAACTTTAAAGCAAAAAAAAAAAAAAAAAAAAAAAAAAAAAAGTAAGAGCACAACAGAGGAAAACCACGACAAAGTGGGAGTTAAGGTCTTTCCCACCTTTCTCATGAGTTCTTCTTGCTTAGTTAAGTCTTCAGAAAAATCATCATTGACATCTAACACCAGCACTGGAATGCTTTGCAGAGACTCAAAGTGCAGCCTATAAAAAGATGAAGATTTGGGGCAAAGGAAAAACAGAAAAGAAATCTGACCTATGCTTCACATGCTCACCAAGACTTCATAATTCAGAGGATGGATTTAAATTCATAAGACTTCTCAATGAACCTGTGTGTGTGTGTAGCATTAAAAAAATTTTTTTAATATTAAAAAAAATAAAATAAATTAATATAAACTAAAAAAAAAACTGGCTGAAAGGAAGGCTGAGCTTTCCCTTTTGTTTCCAAACTATTCCTGGTGGACCAGAGCTACAAACATTATTATTACTTTATTTTTATTAGAAAGTCAGATATACAGAGAAGAGGAGAGACAGAGACGAAGCTCTTCTGTTGATTCACTCCTGAAGTGGCCACAACGGCTGGAGCTGAGCCGATCCAAAGCCAGGAGCCCAGAACCTCTTCCAGGTCTCCTATGTGTGTACAGGGTCCCAAGGCTTTGGGCTGTCCTTGACTGCTTTCCCAGTCTAAAAGCAGGGAATTGGATGGGAAGCAGGGCTGCCAGGGTTAGAACTGTCACCCATATGGGATCCTGGCATGCGACTAGGCAACTTCGTCAGGTCCAGAGGTGTAAACATTTTAAGTGGAAAATATGAAAAGTTATATATGAACAATGTCAAACTGACCATTTTCCTAAAAATTTTGAGCTCCTCACCTTGAGCCAATTATTACCATCACCAATCACAATGTTCAAACCACAGAAACATTTCTAAAATGGGGAGAAAAAATCCAGAATTGAAGACAAAAGCCCCTTGGAATGTACAGAATATATTTAACGTTAGATTCTTGAGCTGGAAAATACTTGCCATTTTCCACTACCCCCAGTACATGATGAACTTTCTCAGAGGTTGCAAGCTGAGCTCTTTGCATTTAACTGCTGGCTTTAGGGAGGCAAATTCTCTGATACTGTTCTTCCACTTACTTGGTTGTCCTGTGAATAAACCACGCTTCATGTTGACTGTGAAGCTGCTCAAGATAGGCCAGTTCAATTCCTTTCTCTTCCTCCCTGCCTCTGTGGCACAGTCTCTGCAAACAAACCTAAAACAAAATGCCCAAGCCTTGTTGAGTCTACTTACTGTTTAGGGCGATATTATCTAGTTTTAGGGAGCTCGAAGAGCCACTCAGACGTCTGCCTTGGGTACTGCAAATCCTGTCTCTGCTGCTTTGTTTGCTGAGCTACACCTCTCCCTCCACCCCGACTGTGAACCTGCTCTTCCTCTGGAGCATCTTTCGATGATTAGGGGCAGAAGTCACCCACCAGCTGTCCAAGGCAGGTACTTCTGCCTTTTTTCTCCTCCACCCAGACACATCCAGAAGTTTACCAGTTCTCCTGAGCCTCTGTCCAGTTGGTTCTCTCCTTGTTTATTCATGTGTGCTCTAATAAGGTTTTCACCATCATTATCTTCATCTAGACTCTGATGCTGTGCCTCCCTGGGGCACACAGTTATACAGAAGGGGTAACAGGCTTCACAGTCAAAAAGTTCAGTAGTCAATTTCTGTCTTTACCATGTACTAGCAGTGCAATCTTCGTGCTTTTTACATCCCTATCTTTCACCTACCCTAAAGTTTACTATCAGGATTCATTGAGGGAAGGTGTAACAGAAATCTGGCAAAAGCTGTTCTCTAGTTTGTCCCCACATTCTATGCTTCCACAGTACTGCAACATGATGGCAAAGGACCCCTTGATTAAAATGTAACACAGGTTCCTTACTGTCTATAGCCACAACCCCAGGAAACAAAGAAATACGGGTAGCATTGTATTGATAAAATGGTGAAGAAAGGGAACCATGTTGTGACACAGAGATTAGGTTGTTGCTTCTCATACCAGCATCCCAAAGCTGAGTACTAGTTCTAGTCCCAGCTGCTCCAGTTCTAACCTAGCTCCCTGTTAAAGTGCCTGGGAAGGCAGCAGATGATAGTTCAAGTACAGGAGCTCCTGGCAACTATGTGGGAAACCAGGATGGGATTCTTGGCTCCACATGGCTTGGTCTGGTCCAGACGTGGCCACTATGGCCATTTTGAGAATAAACCAGCAGGCAGAAGGGCCTTCTCTTCCCACCCTCACTCACCCCTTTTAAATAAATAAAGGTTAAGGAATTTGTGGGCCCGGCGCGGTGGCGCAGTGGTTAAGGTCCTCGCCTTGCACACCCGGGATCCCATATGGGCGCCGGTTCTATCCCGGCAGCCCCACTTCCCTTCCAGATCCCTGCCTGTGGCCCGGGAAAGCAGTCGAGGACGGCCCAAAGCTTTGGGACCCTGCACCCGCATGGGAGACCCAGAAGAGTCTCCTGGCTTCGGGTCGGCCGTTGCGCTCACTTGGGGAGTGAATCATCGGATGGAAGATCTTCCTCTCTGTCTCTCCTCTCTGTATATCCGCCTTTCCAATAAAAAAATAATAAAAATAAATCTTTAATAAAAAAAAAGGTTAAGGAATTTGAAACATCTTTCATAACACACAGAACACACTCTAAAGAAGAATGCAAAATCTGCAAAGGTCAAAGATAAAATAAAGAAAACAACTGAAGAATTAGACTTGAACGACCTCTTCTTCTTGCCACTTCAGATTGTGCAGTTTCTTTTCTTTTTTTAAGATTTATTTATTTTTTACAACGTCAGATGTACAGAGGAGGAGAGACAGAGAAGAAGGTCTTCTGTCCGATGATTTACTCCCCAAGTGACCAGAATGGTTGGTGCTGTGCTGATCCAAAGCCAGGAGCCAGGAACCTGCTCCAGGTCTCCCACATGGGTGCAGCGTCCCAAGGCTCTGGGCCGTCCTTGACTGCTTTCCCAGGCCACAAGCAGGGAGCTGGATAGGAAGTGGAGCTGCCAGGATTAGAACCGGCACCCATATGGGATCCTGGCACATTCAAACAAGGACTTTAACTGCTAGGCCATGCCGCTGGGACCAGGAGTGTGCAGTTTCATTCTGTATTCAACTGGCAGGCAGGCTGAAGCACATTGGCTCCAGGAGGGTGTCTTCTCCTTGACCTTTCACACCAGGCTACCCACCCACTCTGCTTCTCCCCTGGTTTCACTGGTTTGGTCAAGTTTGATCTCCTTCCTACAGGACGGGTCAAGCTCCTTCATATCTTCGATTTTTGCTCCAAATGCTCCTTGTTCCTTTCTCTACTTGGCAAACACTTCAACAAAACCTACCCTGAAAGAATAGGTGGATTGGGCCCTGCACGGTGGCGCAGTAGTTAAAGTCCTCACCTTGCACACCCTCAGAATCCCATATGGGCGCTGGTTTTAATCCCGGCAGCCCCGCTTCCCATCCAGCTCCCTGCCTGTGGCCCGGGAAAGCAGTCGAGGACGGCACAAAGCTTTGGGACCCTGCACCCACGTGGGAGACCCGGAAAAGGCTCCTGGCTTTGGATCGGCACAGCTCCAGCCATTGAGCTCACTTGGGGAGTGAATCATCGGACGGAAGATCTTCCTCTCTGTCTCTCCTCTCTGTATATTTGCCTTTCCAATAAAAATAAAATAAATCTTTAAAAAAAAGAATAGGTGGATTAACCCACAGATTTAGGACTTTCCTTGTTCAAGCACTTGATGCCAAACTTAAAAAATTTTTTTTTCAGATTTCTTAATTGGAAAGACAGATTTATAGAGAGGATGAGAGACAGAGAGGAAGATCTTCCATCCACTGGTTCACTCCCCAAGAGGCTGCAATGGCTGGAGCTGAGCTGATCTGAAGGCAGGAGCCAGGAGTTTCTTCTGGGTCTCCCACATGGGTGCAGGGTCCTAACACTTTGGGCCATTTTTCTCTACTTTCCCAGACCATCAACAGAGAGCTGGATGGGAAGTAAAGCAGTTGGGATATGAACTGGCACAAGACGGGATCCCAGCAAGTGCAAGGGGAGGATTAGTTAATTGAGCCATTGTGCCAGGCCCTGATGTAAACTTTATTCCCAAATGTAGTACAGAACACTCCCAAAGCTTTGGGGCAGATGCTGTTTCCCTCTGAGGAAATGAAATCATGGCCTCCTTTCCTTTCCTTCCTCCCATCTAGCCTGTATTCCTATCTCACTGCTGATGGCTTCAAGTCCTTTCCCTTTTGTTTCCTCCCTCTCTAATCATATAGCTTTCCAGACTACCAAGCATTTAGTACATTTCCTACCCTCAACCACCTAACTTTGGTACTTTCAGAAATATTTTATGTATACTTAAATCCTTATCCCTAAAACGTAAGGAGTAAGGATTTATGTTTTAGGGTTATGTATGTATATATACGTAAATGTCCCATCCTGTACTCCAAGAAAAATACTGCTGGAATTCATAAAAATAAATGTATATTTTTAAAAGTGGCTTTATACTTTCAAGGACTCACAAAGGCATAAATTTTTTTTTTACAAAAGGTATTTATGATTGTTTATTCATTGATTATACTCAAACATCAATGTTCTCATTAATCTCCTATGAAAACAGGCAAACTCGGGCCGGCGCGATGGCGCAGTGGTTAAGGTCTTTGCCTTGCACGCCCGGGATCCCATATGGGTGCCGGTTCTAATCCCTGCGACCCCACTTCCCATCCAGCTCCCTGCCTGTGGCCCGGGAAAGCAGTCAAGGACGACCCAAAGCTTTGGGACCCTGCACCCGCTGTTGCGCTCACTTGGGGAGTGAACCATCGGACGGAAGATCTTCATCTCTGTCTCTCCTCTCTGTATATCCGCCTTTCCAATAAAAATAAAATAAATAAAATCTTTAAAAAAAAAAAAGAAAACAGGCAAACTCTCCTCTAGGAGTCTAAGTGAACTATTCTGAGCAGGTGGCACAATTCTTGCTTTACTGATAGAATTACAGCAATTTATTATTATTATTATTATTGCTGTGCTTTAGCCTGGCTACTCTTCATCTCAGCCCTCTGAACGTGAACAGTGACACTGTAATGTCAAGAGAGGGACTCTTTGAGCTTCTTAATCTGCCCCACCCAAAAGGAAGAGCTTTCCTTCTGTTCTGACTGCTTGGATTCAGACACAGTAATTGTACTGTGACTGCTAGTGGCTCTGGTCTCTGTTCCTTCCAAGCCCTATCCCCAAATGCCATTTGTTATCACATTTCCTGCATGCTGTTTAAACTGACTTTCCAGTTTAGGAAGTAGGTTAGATGGGTAGAAAGACTGAGGGTCCATCATTTCCTGATTTTCTAAAAAAAAACTAATGAATTAATTTGAAAGGCAGAGAAACAAACAGATCTGCCACCCACTGGTTTATTCCTGAAATGCCTGCAATAACCAATGGTGGGCCAGGAGCTGGGAATTCAATTCAGGTCCTCAATGTGGGTGGCCAGAGACCTCACTACTTAAGCCATCACTTGCTAGGATGCGTGTTAGCAAGAAACTGGAATCAGGAGCAGAGTTGAGACAGGAACCCAGTCTCTTCAAAATGGGATGCAGGTGTCCTAGGTGGCAGATAGAAGGAAGCACGAGGACCTAAATCTAGTTCAGATGCTCTAGCCTCAGCTTCTTGAACAGTCCAGCTCTGTTTTTTTTCTTTTAAGATTTATTTTTATTCTTTTGTTTTTTTAATTGGAAAATCAGATATACAGAGAGGAGGAGACACACAGAGGAAGATCCTCCGTCTGATGATTCACTCTCCAAGCAGCCAGCATGGTCAGTGCGGCATCAATCCAAAGACAGGAGCCAGGAGCTCTTCCAGGTCTCCCACATGGGTGTAGGGTCCCAAGGCAGGCTTTGCACTGTGCTTGACTGCTTTCCCAAGCCACAAGCAGGGAGCTGGATGGGAAGTGGGGCCGCTGGGATTAGAACCGGCAGCCATACAAGATTCCAGCATGTGCAAGGCAAGGACTTTAGCCACTAGGCAACTACACTAGGCCCTACAGTTCAGCTCTTAATTTTGGTTCTCTTACTCTCTTGGGATTGGTTAACTCCAAATCTCACAGCAGTAACTTGGGGGAAGGTGAGAATATTCCTGACACTCTACTTTTTTTTTTTTTTCTGAATCCCTAATCTTAATGACATCAAAACAGCACTAAATGTCCTATCTCATCTCAAAATAAAATGCAAACTGCTTTTTAGCTATTGAGTTACAATAATCCCCCAATTGCACCACTCTAACAGAGCTGAAATACTTCAATTAGTTCCAGTGATAATATTAAGCATCAGCAGCACCACCCCTCCAGACCCCTTCTCACAAATAGCACAGAGAAGAATGAGGGAGACTCATGCTTTTCTGGTAGGCCCTAGAGGCCAGTGCAACCTGCACTCCTCAGAAACAAGAGCCTCTGCTCAGGCCAGGCAGCCCTGCGTCACAACCAGGCCATCAGCCCACTTCCTCCTCTGCGTCCTCATGGCATTGAGCTGACTGTGCTCCAGTACTGTTTCTCTTGGAAAGGTCTGGTCAGCATTCTCACTTCTCCTAACACTCGGCCCTAACCCAGCTGTCCTGTTCAGTTGAGCCAGCCAGTCTGCAGCTTCCACAAGAAACTTGAATTTTTCTTCAAATTCCAAACAAAATCTTCACTGAGTTCAACTCTACAGATCCACATTCTTCCTTGATTAAGGCCATGAGACCTTCTGGGGACCAGGCCTTCTCCTTCACCCTTAACTGTTTGCTCAACTACTTAGAAACTGTGCTCACTGGCAGGGGACTCCTCCCCCTAGTCCCTGACACTAAGCCCTACCCTAAAGTGCAATCCACTTCCTAATTTGCCTCCTCAACTCCTGCTCCCAGGCAACAAAGACTACACAGAAAGGTGACCTTGCTGATCAGCCCACAATTAATGAATCTAACATCAGATTGGTTATTTTCAAGGAAGGTTTTCAGTGTTCTAGCTTCACTTAAGTTTTAGTTTCATTTTAAATCTTAGTCTCAACTTTTTTTTTTCTTCAAATTTATTTCATATATTTGAAAGGCAGAGTTAGATGGAGAAAAGAAACTTCATCTACTGTTTCACTCACCAAACAGAAGTAATGGCCGTGGGCTGGGTCAAGCCAAAGCCAAGAGCTTCCTCTGGGTCTCCCATGTGGTCTGGGGGCCCAAGCACTTGGGTCATCTGCTGCCTTCCTAAGGCACATTAGCAAGCACCTGGAGTAGTCAAGACTCAAATCAGCACTCATACGGGATGCCAGTGTCACAGGCAGTAGCTTTACCCAATATGCAACACCAGCCTCAAGTCCCAATTTATTTCTGTGGAATTTATTTCTTCTTGTGACCTAGCTTCCATTTCATCATTTTCTGATAAAAAGATCCTCTGTGTTTGATCCAAGTAACATTCAAAGGTCTCTTTCCAGGCTCCCTTCCTGAAGCAGGACCCTTTGTTCTAGTACTTTCCTTCTTTGGCTTATGTGAGTCCACAGAACGCAGCCTTCCTCACTGGTTCTCAGGCTCCCTTCTGTCTGCTTGCTTCCTTCCTACATCTAAAACACATGGCCTCCAGCCTGAAGAAAGGTTTCCTTCCTCCTAAGATTATGTGTTGGGTGTGGCATTTGATGGCACCTTAGATAAGACTCAAAAGTTGAAAGCATGTCTCTTGCTGTGTGTTAGAATTCCACTCCATGGCAAGATCGACAGCGATTCATAACTGTTGAACTATCAAAACCACTTGAGCAAGAAACCTGGAGCATACCCTACATCTGGGACCTGGGGAGGGTGGGAAATTGGGTGGGCCTTCTCCCTTGGTACCCCCTTTAAACATGAAGGAGACAGTATAGAAATAATAGTCTTACCCACTTTCCTATAGCCCTTGAGCCTTTTTACCCTAATTAACTATGTAAAGATTGTAAAAAAGAATTCCACTTCAGAGCCTTTCAAGATCATCTAGCCCAAGCCAGAAGATTTTACAAAGGACTACTCAAGTGGAAAGGTTTCCAGGAGCTGATAAAGGACCAGTGCTGTCTTAGAGACTGGGGCTCATGTCATATCACCTCTGGGTGCTGAGCTGGCTCTGAAGTGCAGGACACAGGACTTCTGTGGACCACACTGTCTTACCAGTGATATCCGCAAGGTTTGTAGCAAGGCTACAAAATAGGGCAGTGTCAAGATGAGGTGACTTCTCTCCCTACATCCTACACAGGAAACCTCCAGGGCACTGCAGATTCTTGATTCACAGAGAGAGGAGGAAAGCTGAGGTAACTGGCTATAGGTCAGTGCCCATCCTTCAAACCCTGGGTGACACAGACATTTGTCATATGTAGTTGCTACATCAAGAGGGACTTTTAAAACATTTTAAAATTTTCTTTTTTAATGTTGCTTACATAGCTGAGAAGAATGCATGCTCAGATGGGTCTCTGATTAGGGTGGGGAGGGACAGATATGGAAGAAGGTGCAAGAGGGACTTTTTAATGAATCACCGGTTTCTAACCAGAGGTGCAGGTGTCTAGCGAGGATCACCTGTTGGGATTCCTACAGCCCTAAAGTCTAAGGCTTCAGTTCTGAGTTACCTGGGGAGTAGCTTGAAGGTAGATGAAGCCATGTAATGTGAGCCGGCTGGCAAACTCCCGCAGGAGAAACGAATGCCAGTCCTGATAGATATGCCATTCGATGTCACTGATGGAACCATTTTCAAAAAGATTCTTTGCAAAGATATACCTGGTTGGAAATTAAATGGGATGGGCAGGAGGGGAAGGAAGAATATGGGAAATGGAATGAAAGACACAAGAGAGAAAGAAGCAGAAAAAAATCAATAACCAACTTGTTCCACGTCCATTCAAACCACTTAACCTTTTTAGCTTCTCATCACTCCTTAAGGAATTTCAACTCTTAACCCATATCTTTCTCCCTGCTCCACACCAAAATGGGAAAGCTGAAGTAGACCAGAGCCTGAAACCATAGTTTTCCATGTGGATTCATTTGTTGTACCCAGATTTTGAGATCCCTAGAAATCATCAGGAGTCTGAACTCGATGCAAACACATTCGGGCGGTTTATTCAGGCTAGCCTAGGCCCAGCTGTCACCCCAGCCCAGCAGGCTGTTGCAGTGGCAGCAGCAGCAGCAGCAATAATAGCAGTAGGGGTGAGGTTGGATAGCACAGGGTTTTTATACATTTCAGGCCAATTCCACACAACTACACAGTAATGATTGGTCAGTTTAACTGTTAACTTTCTTTCTTTTTTTTTTTTTTAAGATTTATTTTTTATTATTTTTTTATTGGAAAGGCCAGATATACAGAGAGGAGAGACAGAGAGGAAGATCTTCCGTCCGATGATTCACTCCACAAGTGAGCACAACGGCCGGTACTGTGCCAATCCGAAGCCAGGGGCCTCTTCTGGGCCTCCCACACGGGTGCCGTCCTCGACTGCTTTTCCCGGGCCACAAGCAGGGAGCTGGATGGGAAGCGGGGCTTCCGGGATTAGAACCGGCACCCATATGGGATCCTGGGCGTGCAAGGCGAGGACCTTAACCACTGCGCCACAGCACCGGGCCCCGTTAACTTTCAAAAAGAGCAAGTTGGCAAGTTTCTATTGGTGGGTTTGAAGCATGTAACTTTCAAATAGTACAAACTGGTGGGCTACAGGGTAGTCAGCAAGTCTTATCTAACACCAGGAGCATCCTTTCTGAGGAGTGCTCTACCTATGTGACTTGCCAGGTGTCACGTAGACTGTCAAGCCTGGAGTTCACACAGCTGCTCAGCAAAACAAGCAAGGCAGAAATCACAAGAGCAGAAAACACTGAGGTTTCCTCACATTCTCCAAAAGAAGGCGGACATCAGAAAATTAGCACTAGTCTCCAGAAAATGATGCACATAAATATAAACTTCTGAGATTTCCTTGTTTTAGCAAAGCTCCAAATAAAACAAGTGATTTAGTATAAAGCCATCACCAGGGGCTGGTGCAACGGTTCAACTGGATCAATCCTCCACCTCCAAATACAGCATCCTATATGGGTACTGTTTCGTACCTGGCTGCTCTACTTCCAGTTTCCTACTTATGGCCTGGGAAAGCAGTAGAGTATGGCCCAGGTCCCAGCTTCAGATTGGCTCAGTTCTGGACACTGCAGTCACTTGGGGAGTGAACCAACAGATGGAAGATCTTTCTCTTTGTGTTTCCTTCTCTCTGTAAAGCTGCCTTTCCAGTAAAAATAAATAAGTCTAAAAAAAAAAAGTCACTACCACATTTCTTCTAAGGACTGAGACCTTCTGAATCTGCAGACAATGGAGCCTACCCCTCCCTAGCTGAGGCCCAGGAAACACATTTCATAACAACTTCAGTCTTAGCAAGAAAGCCAGCTCACTTTAAAATTCTAACAGCTTTTGCTTGCTTCCTCTGCTGAGCTACTAGCTTTACTAACTACTAACTTTACCCTTAGCTTAGTTCCATAACAAAGGGAGCATGTGGGAACTAGGAAAACCCAGCCACATGGAGACATTGGTATTGGAAGGGTCAATTCTGCTTTAAATCCTCAGGCGTCTTGATACAAAACACAATTTACATCCTAAACAATGAACTACAGTTTCTAAGGCAACGCTCAGCAACCAGCCACTTCTGGGAAAATGGAATTCAGAATCTTCCCCTACTAATGGCTCAGCGAAGCACAGACTGCAAGGCTGTGTGTGTCATCATTCCAGCAGGGTCTGATCTGGCTGCACTCTTCCGTAGCTTTTTCACTGTGGGCAAGTTGTCCAAACTCTTGGCCCAATGAGGTGATGACTATAAATAATGCTCATCAATGCTGAGAAGAGTGACTGGCAATTGACTCAAGATATTTCAGTTACTGCTGTAACTGCTTTTTGCTAGGTTCTGATAAAGCTAATATGGAAACTCTGCAAGTAAAATTTTTTATCTAGAATGGGATAGCTATAGCTTGAAGGTAACAGAGAGGTGATGTTTGTACCAAGTTCCAAAAATAGTGTCAGCTTCAGAAATCCAGAAGTCAAACCAGACATTCTATAAAGAGAAATTAACCAAGTGCTATTAAAGGGGCAATTCCCTACCCCCAAGATTTATTTATTTTTATCAGAAAGGCAAATTTACAGAGAGGAGAAACTGAAAGATCTTCGGTCTGCTGGTTCATTCCCAAGTGACTGTAATGGCTGGGAGCTGAGCAAAACCCAAGTCAGGAGCCGGAAGTCTCTCCAGGGTTTACCATACAGTTACAGGCTCCCAAGGGTTTGGGCCATCCTCCACTTCTTTCCAACGCCACAAGCAGGGAGCTGGATGGGAAAAGGAGCAGCCAGGTCATAAACAGGTGCCCAAATGAGATCCTGACACTTGAGAGGAGAGGATCAGCCAATTAAGCCATGGAGCAGGGCTCCCCTGCCTCTGGTAAGAAGTGCTTAATTTCACAGCTAGTGTGATACGTGACAGCAGGGGAGAAGGGTGCAGTGCTGAGTGTGGAGCAGGAGGGAGTTGCTGCAGGGCATAGAGCTTAGGCATGAGGAGTCAAGAACCTGCTTTAAAACCAGAAGCCAGTGTTTCCTTTAACTCAAACAGCAAAGTCAGGTTTTTTTTTCCTTCCTATAACCCACTCTCTTAAGCAACTTATGTTTTTCCTTTGGGACATACAATACATACAAGCATGTGTTTAATACCTACTGAACGAGGTAGGATCCATGTGAAGGCAGCAACTGGGTCTGCCTTACCCACTGCTGCAGCTCTAGAGCCAGGCCTCGTGTCTCAACACAGGCAGTGTTCAGGAAGATTGCCAAGCAAACAAATACATGAATTTGTTATTAGTAATGTTTTTTTAATCTCAAAAATGACTCTTCTAGTGTGTGGCATTGCGATGCAATGGGTTAAACTGCTGTTTATGATGCCAGCATCTCATACTGAAGTAGGTCCATTCTGTCTCTGATCCAGCTTCATGTTAATGTGCCAGGGAGGCAGTAGGTAATAAATTCAAGTGTGTGAGCCTCTGCCACCCACGTGGGAGACCAGGGTGCAGTTCTTGGCTCTTGGTTTCAACTTGGCCCAGACTGGGTTGCTATAGCCATTTGGGGAATAAGCCAGTGGTTGAGAGGTTTGTCTCTTCTTTTTGACATTTTGCCTTTCATAAATAAATAAAATGCTTTTTAAAAACTCAATCCCAGTCTAAAGAAACCACTTACTATGGTAGCTTCCCACGATAAAAAAAAATTCTTACCCCTTATTTTACAAGTAAATGTTAAGAACACATAGTGGGGCCCAGTGTGATGGAGCAGTGGTTAAGGTCCTCGCCTTGCACGCCCAGGATCCCATATGGGCGCCGGTTCTAATCCCTGCAGCCCCGCTTCCCTTCCAGCTCCCTGCCTGTGGCCCGGGAAAACAGTCGAGAACAGCCCAAAGCTTTGGGACCCAGCACCCGCGCGGGAGGCCCGGAAGAGGCTCCTGGCTTCGGATCGGCATAGTATCGGCCGTTGCGCTCACTTGGGCAGTGAATCATCGGACAGAAGATCTTTCTCTCTGTTTCTCCTCTGTATATCCGCTTTTCTAATAAAAATATAAAATAAATCTTTAAGAAAAAAAAAAAAGGAACACATAGCAGCATAGCATAGCATTTACTTCTCTCTTTTCCTGAGGTGTCTCTTACATGACCAAATTAGTAAAGGACTAGAAATCAAAAGACCAATTGTGAGCACGTTTCCAAGCAATCTAGGTGGTCACATATAATTCAACTTCCTAGTTTTAGGTTCACCATTTGGAAGAAAAGAAAGAATAGGTAGTAGTATTCTAGCAGCTGAAAAGAACTAAACCCTACAACCAAACCATTTGTGAAGTATACATTTGGCTTTTATATAAAGAGTTTGCTCTATGCTTGGGTGCAGAGGAGAAATGTGTAACTTGTAAGATGTGTTTTATGTATCCGAATCACCTGCCACTTAGAAATATTTACTTACTGTTTTCTTTCAGGTGACTTTATGGGAGTACTAAGAGGCAGAACTAATTTATCTAATTTAGAATTGAATGGAGAGTGTCTTCAGCAGTGAATAGAAAATGAAAAATGCAGCATTTTCCATTTTAATAATTCCAAGCGGCTCAAGACAGATCATTTTGCTTAAAAGCAGCATTTCACTGACAAAAGTTAGTGACAGCCTCCTGATTCAGCGAAGCTTCAGCAGCGAGATCAAGCTACTCTGCTTCTAAGTGGCTTACCTGTAATTCACTCTGCTCTAGGTGGCAGAAGCAGGAATCCTGGGGTCTAGTAAGGATATCTCTTCTGGAAGAGATGGACTCTTCTAGGCCAGCTGCCGGCCTTCATACCTCGGGGCATTAAGTCCCTTTCCTCAAAAGGCACTGGGTGCTCACTCCAGGCTCTGGCCAGCACCTTGTCACCTAACCTTGCCACCCAAAGAGTGGAAAAAGACCAATAACTCTGAAACAAACTAATTTCACAGATGTGCTTCTTCTGCCTACACGACTGTTTATGGAGAATAAAAAGGGATAAATAATTTTCTTATGTCATTTTGGGGACACAAATTTTAACAGTCTTTTTCTTTAAGATGATAATCAACCACTTAATTCACTTGTTTTCCTAGGTCATACACTGCTAAATGTCTCCTCCCTTTAGCATGTATGATTTATACTAGGTAGCTATAGCTTGCCTCCATGCCAGGAAACAGGGATTAATTAGTGGTAATGTGGGACAGTTAGTATGTTCAGCTCACAAAAATAAATAAACCAAAAAAACACATTTATTTCTTGACATTACTATGAAACTCAGTAGAAATATAACTGTGCAAATTGCTATAGTGTTGTCTTCAAAAAATAGGTAAGTTTTCTTTTTTTTTTTTTAAGATTTATTTTACTTTTATTGGAAAGGCGGATATACAGAGAGGAGAGACAGAGAGGAAGATCGTCCGTCCGATGATTCACTCCCCAAGTGAGCGCAACGGCCCATACTATGTCGATCCGAGGCCAGGAGACTCTTCCAGGTCTCCCACACGGGTGCAGGGTCCCAAAGCCTTGGGTCATCCTCGACTGCTTTCCCGGGCCACAAGCAGGGAGCTGGATGGGAAGTGGAGCTGCCAGGATTAGAACCGGCGCCCATATGGGATCCTGGGCGTGCAAGGCGAGGACCTTAACCACTGGGCCACCGCGCCGGGCCCAGTAAGTTTGCAAAGTATACTTTTCAATGACTAGTACAGGGTGGAACCTTGGGGGAAAAGGGAAAGTATGAAGAACTGAGAAGGGGCCCTGTGAACGGCAGAGGGTTGACATCTTACCTGTCACTGTACACAGACCTCTCAAAGACCTGCACTGGCCTCTTGGCCTGTAAGAGTTTCTTAGGCAAGGGCTCCAGGTGTACTTTCAGACGGCTCATAAAGGAATATGTCTGGAATGTATAGGACCATCGTGCTGGCTCCTGGTACATCATGTCCAGTAAGTTTCCGAGACTTTGGGCAGCGCAGGCCTAGAGGGGATTGTAACAGAATTTTCTAGAAGGTGTATTTACTCTATGGTACACAACTCCAGAACTCCCTTAAGCCTGCTTAATAACCAATGAAAGAAGAAATTATAGAGGTTTTCTCCCATTAATAGATACAATCAGGGACTGGTGTAGTCAAGTCCATCTGGGGAAGAGTTAACAACCATTTAAAATTCTACCTAAATTAAATCTCTCCACTGAGACATTATACAGCCTCACCTGAGAGTCCGTCATGGACTGTTTCCTTTTTCATTCTCCCTTGTTTCCTTCCCCCTCCTTTCTTTTCTTTCAGGTTTATTCATTTATTTGAAAGAGAGAATAACAGAACAGCACACATACACACACATACACGTGCAAGTGGAAACAGAGATTTTCCATCTGCTGCTTCACTCCACAAATGCACTGAGAAAAGTCAAGGTACTCCATCCCAGTCTTCCAGGGAGCCATTATCTGCTGTCTTTTAGGTGCATTAGCAGAAGCTGGGCTGGAAGCAGAGGAACTAGGACTTGAAACAGCACAGCATTCCAAGCCACAGCTTAATCCACTATTTGCTAATGTGCTGTGTCAAAATGCCTGCCTCTGCAGCTATTGCTTCATAAAACTTAGAAAAAAAAAAAGACAAAGAAAGTGATTATTTGCAAACTTAATCAACCAAGCAAACAATTTGCATCCTATGCCTTCATGCTAAGTTATACTTTGCTTGCCAAAACCCTCTTCCATTCCAGCAACATATAAAATGCAATTAGAAGTGTTTCAGTTATTTGGCATGTGCTAGTTGGCATAAGTAGGGGATATACAGGAGTCCTGAATTCTTTTCTAGATTCTGCCACAGATTCAACGCAAAACTCTGGACCTGTATTTATTCAGTCAGTTACGTTTAATGGAAGACCTGTGTGGATGAGGCACTATGTTGCCTAGTGGCCATAAGAGGTACAGGAAAAGGAAGTAACATTTATTTCAATTTTCACTTATGATAAAGCATTTAACATTCAGAACTGTTTAATCAGGTAGGTACTGGTGCTACACTTATTTTGCAGAGGCAAAAATCTAGTAATAGGTCTGGTAACTTCCTTGTGCACAACATTGGAGGGAGTAAGTGCTGAATGAAAACTCCAACCTGGTTTAGTGAACAAAATGTGGTTATTGAATGCAAGGGGCTAAAATACAAAAGAGAGGGAGTGACAGGACACAAAGAGCAGGAATATAAAGGAGAATGTGACATGAAAGCACAATCACCTATGGTGGAGGAAATCTCAAGAAGTTTCTGGAGAAAAGGGGACATTAAGCTGGGAAGTACATATTGAAAGATTTCTCTATTTCCAATTCTCCAAAGCATACACACCAGCCTCACAAATGACCCCTGGCGAACAGCAGGGTAGAGGCAGCAGGACAAATCTGAATTTCAACCATTTAACAGCATCACTCGACAGTGTAGGGAGCAGCTCTTGGATGCTGAATGACAGAGGGAGGCACTGGGCTGGCAGATGGAGTAGCTGGATTCGTAGAAGTTACCGCATCTGCAAGTCTGCCACCCTGAGCTGCAAAAGGGAGGCTGTTCTGAAACACAGAATTGCACTGTTGCCAAAAGAACTCATTTTAGCCACAGAATAAATATACATGTATCTCCAAATACACACACATACACGCACACACAAATATATCTCCAAATATATGCTGAAATTACAGTAACTGGGTGATGCTCAACAATTCAAAAGGGGAGAAAACCAAGCTGTGTCCAGAAAAAGCTGCTGGCAGAAATAGGAGGAAACAAACACCAACAAAATTCAAGATAGTGTTTCATTAGTGAAAAGTAACAATAAAATGAATAAAAAGGGAACAATACAAAAAGAACATTCTTGGAGGTGAAAAATGCAATTGTCAATGTAGAAACCTAATGAAGATAATACTGCAGTTAATTAGTGAGTGAGAATGTCAGCTTAAGATACTTCATAAACTAAGAGAACAAAAGCAGAAAATTATACAGATGAAGACATGCAGACTAGAAGAGATCCAGTATACACTGCAATATAGTCATAGTAGAGTATTTTTAAATTTTTCCTCTGTAGAGATAAATGAGGAATAGTATCATTGCTGCTCCACCTAACAGCAAATCAATTTTGTATCAAACAAGTTTCCAGAGGTCAAAATGATCTGTTACAACTTCAATACAGTATTAGTACTCTCTATTCCACAGCAAGGAGAAAAAATTCAAAAAACGAAAAACTGCATCTATATTGAACACAGACTTTTTCTAGTTATTATTTCCTGAACAGTAAGTACCATGGGGCTGGTCACATGGCAGAGCAGCATCAAGCTGATGCCTGCGGTGCCAGCATCCCATACGGGCACCGCTCTGTGTCTTGGCTGTTCCTCTTCTTGGCACGTGATTCCTTCACCACTGAGAATCACTATTTTATAGGTGAGTGCTTTATTATGTTATCTCTAGGCATTTGAGGACAGAAAAACAAGTTTTACAATATAACCAGAAGTTTTAGTTAACATTCTGAAGTAAAAATTTATAAAACAAAAGAATGGTCGACACCTATATCCTGGCATAGTGGGTTAAGGCACTGCTTACGATACTGTATCAAAGCAATGGAATCTCAGCACTCCTGCTTCTGATCCATCTTCCTAGGAAAGCAGCAATGATGGCTTAAGCACTTGGGTCAATAATTTGCAAAATTTTTAGAGATCAGGATTTTGGTTCTACACTATCATAAAACACACACCAGTAAGGGACCAGTGCTGTGGCACACTGGGTTAAACTGCTACTCCTGAGTGCTGCAGTCCTAGCTGCTCCATTTTTTTTTTTTATTTTTTATTTATTTATTTTTTTTTTATTGGAAAGGCGGATATACAGAGAGGAGAGACAGAGAGGAAGATCTTCCGTCCGATGATTCACTCCCCAAGTGAGCGCAACGGGCCGATACTATGCCGATCCGAAGCCAGGAGCCTCTTCCGGGTCTCCCACGCGGGTGCAGGGTCCCAAAGCTTTGGGCCGTCCTCGACTGCTTTCCCAGGCCACAGGCAGGGAGCTGGATGGGAAGCGGGGCTGCCGGGATTAGAACCGGCGCCCATATGGGATCCCGGGCGTGCTAGGCGAGGACTTAACCACTTGCGCCACCGCGCCGGGCCCTGCTCCATTTTTTTTCCCTACTTATTTGAACGACAGAAAGAGAGAATCTTTCATCAACTGGTTCGTTCTTTAAATGGCTCCAAAAGCTAGAATTGGGCCAGGCCAAAGCCAGGAGCTTCTTCTTCTGGCTATCCCATGTTGGTAGCAGGGGCCCAAGGACTTAGCTATCTTCTGTTGCTTTTCCAGGCAAATCAGCAGAAAATGGGATCAGAAGTAAAGTAACGAGGACTTTAATTAGCATCCATATGGGAATCCAGTGTCTCCAGCAGTGGCTTAACTTGTTATCTGAACACCAGCCAACACCACTACCCTTTCTTAAAAAAAAAAAAAAAAAGGAGATTTATTCGAAAATTTGAGTTACTGAGGAGGGAAAGACAGAGAGAGGGGTTTCCTTCCGTCAGTTATTCTCCAAGTGGCCGCAACCGCCAGGTTGGGCTAAATGGAAACCAGGAGCTTTATTCAGATCTCCCACATGGGTTGTTAGGCCCCAATCACTTGGGTCATCTTTCAGTGCTTTTCCCAGAGCATTAATATGGAGGTAGGTTATAAGAGGAGCAGCCAGGATATGAACCTGGTACCCATTTGGGATGATAGTGTTTTAAGCAGCAGTATTACCTGGCAAGTTACAGTGTTAGCCCATACTCCAATCATGATTTGGCTTCCTGCAAAGGCGTCCAAAGAAACAGTGGAAAATGGCCAGAGTACCTGAGTTCCTGCCACCCTTCTGGGAGACCCAATTGAATTCCAGGCTTCAGCTATTCATGGTGTCAACTAGCAGATGCACAATCTCTTTCTCTTTAACTCTGACTTTCAAATAAACAAATTTTACAAATACACACACATACATGTACACAAATTTTGGCTATTAAAAATGATTGAGCTAAAAGTACATTAATCATTTAACATTGTAGATAGTAGGGCCCAACAGCGAGGCCTAGCGGCTAAGGTCCTCGCATTGAACGCCCCGGGATCCCATATAGGCGCCAGTTCTAATCCCGGCAGCTCCACTTTCCATCCAGCTCCCTGATTGTGGTCTGGGAAAGCAGTCCAGGACGGCCCAAAGCTTTGGGACCCTGTACCCGTATGAGAGACCTGGAAGAAGTTCCTGGATCCTGGCTTTGGATCGGCACAGCATCGGTCCTTGTGCTCACTTGGGGAGTGAATCATTGGTCAGAAAGATCTTCCTTTCTGTCTCTCCTCCTGTCTGTATATCTGACTTTCCAATAAATAAATAAATCTTAAAAAAAAAAACATTACAGATAGTAAGGAAAAATTTAAAAACTAAATATTCGAAACAGGACTATTTCAAAACTAAATATTTCAAATTACACGGTGTGGTACAATCATTACAATGACATTACTATCAAATGACATGCAGGTGGTAATTACAATTTTGGTTTAAAAAAACAAATATACATCTATTTTACAAATTTAATAAGTGTATATAAATATATATTTATCTGTGAAAGAAAGCCTGAACATACAAAAGTTCTAACCATTTTTTTTAAAGATTTATTTTATTTCTGTTGGAAAGGCGGATGTACAGAGAGGAGAGACAGAGAGGAAGATCTTCTGTCTGATGATTCACTCCCCAAGTGAGCGCAACGGGCCGATACTATGCCGATCCAAAGCCAGGAGCCTCTTCCGGGTCTCCCACGCGGGTGCAGGGTCCCAAAGCTTTGGGCCGTTCTCGACTGCTTTCCCGGGCCACAGGCAGGGAGCTGGAAGGGAAGTGGGGCCGCAGGGACCAGAACCGGCACCCACATGGGATCCTGGGCGTGCAAGGCGAGGACCTTAACCACTGCTCCATCACACTGGGCCCAGTTCTAACTATTTTTAAAAAGATTTGCTTATTTGACAGGCAAAGTCACAGAGATCGTCTGTACACTGGTTCACTCTCCAAATGGCAGTGATGGCCAGGGAAGGGACAGACTGATGCCAGGAGCTCCACCTTTGTTTTCCACATGGGGGCAAGGGTCCAAGCAAGTGGGCATCCTCACGGCCTTCCCAGGCACCTAAGTAGGGTGGGTGCTGGATAGGAGGCAGAGCAGTCAGGTCTCAAATCGGGACTCCAGTATGGGATGTCGTCATCACACTGTGAGTGTAACCAACTCTTGGCCATTCTGACTCTGGTTAATGAGACAAATGAGTGTATTACTGAACTATTACTGCCTATCAAACAGGATGCTAAAATGTAGCGGCTTAAACAAAAAAAAAATCATTCATTATTCATTTATTGAGGGGTAGGAATTTGGGAAGCAGGTTTCCAAGGTTTTGCCCTAAAACTTCTCATTAAGTCCAGCCACAAGTTGGCTCTGGTTGGCATTTTGGTGTGGTGGATTAAGTTGCCACCTTCAGAGCCAGTATCCCATGTGGGTGCCAGTTCAAGTTCCAGTTGTACCACTTCTGATCCAGCTTCCTGTTTATGTGCCTGGGAGAGCAGCAGAAGATGCCCAAAGCAATTGGGCCATCCACCTGGAAGAAGTTCCTGGCTTTGGCTTGGCTCAATCCAGGCTACTGTAACCATCTGGAGAGTGAGAAGTGGATGGAAAAACTCTGTCTCTCCCTTTCTCTCTCTCTCTCTCTTTTTTTTTAAGATTTATTTTATTTTTATTGGAAAGGCAGATATACAGAGAGGAGAGACAGAGAGGAAGATCTTCCGTCCGATGATTCACTCCACAAGTGAGCACAACGGCCTATGCTATGCCGATCCAAAGCCAGAAGACTCTTCCGGATCTCCCACGTGGGTGCAGGATCCCAAAGCTTTGGGCCATCCACGACTGCCTTCCCGGGACACAGGCAGGGAGCTGGAAGGGAAGCGGGGCCGCAGGGATTAGAACAGGCACCCATATGGGATCCTGGGCGTGCAAGGCGAGGACCTTAAACACTACGCCATCGCACCGGGCCCTCCCTTTCTCTCTATAACTGTGTCTTCCTAATAAACCAATGACTTTTTATAGAAAAAAAAATAATAGGGCTCACGCAGTAGCCTAGTAGCTGAAGTCCTTGCCTTGCATGTGCCAGGATCCCATATGGATGTCAGTTCGTATCCTGCCTGCTCCACTTTCCATCCAGCTCCCTGCTTGTGGTATAGGAGACCAGTGGAGGCTGCTGGCTCCTGGCTCCTGATTGGATTGGCTCTGGCTGTTGTGGCCACTTGGGGAATGGATTAGCATATGGAGGATCTGTTTGTCTGTTTCTCCTCTCCATGAAAATAAATCTTAAAAAAAAAAAAAAAAAGCCAGGGACTGGTGCAACAGTTCAACAGGCTAATCCTGCACCTACAAGGACCAAGATCCATACTGATGCTGGTTCAAGTCCCAGCTGCTCCACTTATGATCCAGCTTCCTGCTTGTGCCCTGGGAAATCAGCAGAGGATGGCCCAAGTGGGAAGAAGCTCCTGGCTCCTGGCTACACATGGGATCAGTTGTGGCCGCTGTAGTTCTTTGGGGAATGAAGCAGCAGATAAAAGATCTTTCCATCTCTCCTCCTCTCTGTGAACCTGCTTTTGTAATAAAAATAAATAAATACATTTTTTACAAATCTGTCTAATGTGGTGTTGCCTGAGGGCTGTACTGAGGCTGGAGGATCAAGAAAATTCTCTCACCTATGGGCAGGAGGTCTCTGTTCCTTGTTACATGGTCTCTTTTAATTTATCTGAAAGGCAGAGAAACATAAACAGACAATTACTGATTCACTCCTCAGCTACTTGTAACCGCCAGGGATGGCCTGGAGTTCTATGCAGGTCTCTCATGTTGGTGGCAGGACCCAAAGTACCGGCACCATCATTATCTGCTGTCTACCAGGGTACACGTTATCAGTAAACAGGGACTAAAAAGCAGGCACTACAATGCGCATTACAGGAAACCCGAGTGGCACCTTAATCACCATGCCAAATGCTTGCTGCCGCTATGGACTGCCTTTCTTCTATGCAGAGACAGAAAACCTACCCGCTGATCTACTCCCAAAAACGCCTACAAGAACTAAGCCAAAGCCAGGAGTACAGAACTCCATCCGCCTTTTCCACAAGGATGCAAGGGACCCAAGCACTTTAATTCTCTACTGCCTCCCAGGATGTACACAGCAGGAAGCTGGATCTGAAGTGAAGAAGCCAGGACTTGAGCCAGGCACACTGGCTTAATGGACACACTACATAACCGCCCCATAGGGTTGTATACAGGTACAACCTGTAGGGTGAAGCATCATCAGGCTGCTTCACCACTCACAAAAGAGGCATCACTACTTTACTGCCAAGAGGTCTGAGACTCCAGTCTCTTCATAACCTGCCCTAAAAGGGCACACTGATTTCTTTATTTTTTTTTTAAGATTTATTTATCTTTATTGGAAAGGCAGATATACAGAGAGGAGAAGAGACAGAGAGGAAGATCTCCCATCTAATGATTCACTCCCCAAGTGGCCACAACTGCTGGAGCTGAGCCAATCCAAAGCCAGTAGCCAGGAGCTCTTCTGGGTCTCCCATGCAGGTGCAGGGACCCAGGCTTTGGGCCGTCCTCAACTGCTTTCTCAGGCCACAAGCAGGGAGCTGGATGGGAAGCAGGGCTGCCATGATTGGAACCGGCGATCATATGGGATCCTGGCGCATGCAAGGAAAGGACTTTAACAACTACACTATTGCGCTGGACCCAGGGCACACTGATTTCTGCTGCACCTCATTCATTAGAAACAAATGCTGAACTCACTTCTGACTCAAGGGAATGAAACGCAAGGTTCATTTCTTTTCATAGGTAAGATTCTTTTTTTTTTTTTTAAGATTTATTTTATTTTTATTGGAAAGGCGGATATACAGAGAGGAGAGACAGAGAGGAACATCTTTCCGACCGATGATTCACTCCCCAAGTGAGCGCAACAGCCAGTGTTATGCCGATCCAAAGCCAGGATCCAGGAGCCTCTTCCGGGTCTCCCACACAGGTGCAGGGTCCCCAAGCTTTGGGCCGCCCTGAACTGCCTTCCCAGGCCACAAGCAGGGAGCTGCATGGGAAGTGGGGCCACTGGGATTAGAACTGGCGCCCATATGGGATCCCAGGCGTGCAAGGTGAGGATCTTAACCACTGCGCCATCACGCCGGGCCCGCAAGCTTCATATCTTGAAGGCAGGAGTAGCAAACTATTTTCTGAAATTGCAACAAGAGATCTGTGACATACTCTGAATAAGATTTATACTTTAGGATCCGGCACGGTGGCCTAGTGGCTAAAGTCCTTGCTTTGCATGTGTCAAGACCCCATATGGGTGCCAGTTCAAGTCCTGGTTGCTCTATTCCTCTTCCAGCTCCCTGTTGATGGCCTGAAAAAGCAGTAGAGCATGGCTCAAAGTCTTGGGATCCTGCACCCTTGTGGGAGACCCAGAAGAAACTCCTGGCTCTTGGCTTTGGATTAGCACAGTTCCAGCTTTTGTGTCCACTTAGGAAGTGAACCAGTGAATGGAAGATTTTTCTGTGTATCTGACTTTCCAACAAAAATTTAAAAAGATAACAAAAAGACAAAAAATTTTCTTATTTCAAAATGGAAAATTTTACACACACAGAAATAGTCCTTAAAAAAAACCACACTGAATAAGCACGATATTTTTGCCACAAAAGGTAACACAATTCTTCTTCGGAAAACGGAAAAAATGGCACCCAGAACAAGTGCCATTCAGACTCTAGAATGTTCTGTTCAGATCTGAGTAGCACTGTTGTTATATCTAATAGGAAAACAAGCCAACTGGAGCTCATTACTTAACCCAAGTTACTTCAGAATGACAAACAGTCTGAGGGAAATGAAGTATTCAACTTCAAAGAGAGAAAACCTGATGGTGAGAAAGCAAGCAAACAATGACTCCAACTATATAGAGGGTTGCCACATGGAAAAGCTGTAAGACTTGAAGGCGTAGAATTTGAACCCATGAGTCAAGAGTCATGGCGGTGCACATGGCACAGTGCAGCAACGAGCAGTCTAACAGTGAGAGTTGTTCCAAACCAGACTCAGCCACTCAGCACATGCCCCGGGTGGCTGCAGAAGGAGCTCGCAGAACCTCAGGAGTTATGGTGCAGCTACCCCACAGCTACCTCAAGGGTTCAGGTTCATATGGATCTTGGCCTCCTCATACTGATGTAGCTGGTGTTGAAACCCACGTATAGCTTCTGCCAAGGCAGCAGCCTTGACACCAGGACCAAGGCCAAGAAGTGAAAGTGAGATGCCCACAGTGTGTGCTTGTCAAAGGCCAGCTATCACCTCTGCATGTCCAGGTGTGGACTGCACGCTCTCTTGCTTGACTTTCAATTTTCAAAACTTTGGAAAGGTTAAAATCACTACAACTGCTACTAACCTTGATGGGTAGCCTCTGTAGTGATAAAATATAATTTGGAATGACAAAAACCAAGATGGTTGGACATGCTTTGGGAAACCAGAAAGAACAGAAGCAGTATGTATTTTATGTATTACACTAATACATAAAAGCCACCAAAATCAAAACTGAAAATATTCAAACAAGTCACATCCTCTCTGGTGCATGTGGTCTGCTTTCTGGAATGAAGATTCTAAAAAGGAGACTCAAACTGGGCTCCTTTACCTACTCAGAGTAAATTAAATTATTTCAATTAGATTACTCACCCACGCCTGCCAACTACCCACCACAGCTGAAAACTTACGTGTTGGGTGCCAGCAGCCTGGACATTCTGCCATGTTGCTACAGGTTCTGTAGTTACATGCCACTCGGGGTAAGTTCTGGTGAGCAACTTCACAAAGGTGGACTTTCCCACAGCTGCAATGCAAACAGCATATATTGGGACGCTTCCCAAAGCAAGCTGGAGGAGGAGGCTGCTACAGAACCCTGCTGCACAGGCTATCTCAAGGGAACAAATTCTAGTGTTCTGATTTCAAAATTCAGCAGCCACACTGTTGTCAGACTCATGATGGTCAGGTCATGCTAACCAAATTCCCCATAATTAATAGAGGCAACAGGGAGGAAAGGTCCCCTTGAGACTTTTTTTTTTTTTGTAATTTTAACATCCCAACTTCCCAGAGGCAAAAAATAGTTACTAGCAGTTGAAAATGTAATAGAACCATCAAAAGTAGATGAAATTCGTTATGTAAATTGCAAAGCATTAGTCCTATTTGTTCTATGACAGTGCCAAAATTAGAGTTTTTCAAGACAGAAAGTTACTATGACCTCATTCATTCATTAAATCTAATGAAGCGAACAAATCTTGCTAACCACGGCCTCAGTACAGGCAGACAGGGAGGCTACAATGGCACACAAAGCAGAACAATTTGATCCTTACAGAATCTGTACGGGAAACGCTAAACCACTAAACAAGAACACAGTAACTACCAACAAGCTGTGGGAAGTACGAACAAGGAAAACCCCAGCTCTGAAGTCAGCGAGGCATCTCAAAATGACGACACTGGCAGGAAGGTCTGAGATGACAGCTCAGCCAGGCCAGGCGTGGCAGAAGGACAGTCCATGCAGACAGCAGAAGGAACTCAGGACTGCATAAGAATGCAGCAACAAGAGACAAGTCTTAAGCCCATGGAAGCACGGCCACAACAGCATTGAAAGATGGCTCAACACAGGTGTGACAAAGCAGCTAGGCAATTCAGGGACAGGTCATATGGTTAAATTATAGCTTTGCCAAGTTTCCATTCTATTCTCAAGCCAATGGGAAGTCAATGACAATAATTTTATTTGTTTGCTTTTTCTAAAGATTACTTTTTATTGAAAAGGCAGATATACAGGGAGGAGGAGAGACAGAGAGGAAGCTCTTCCGTCCGATGGTTCACTTCCCGAGCAGTCTCAATGGCCTGAGCTGAGCTGATTCAAAGCCAGGAGCCAGTAGCTTCCTCCAGGTCTCTCACGTGGGTGCAGGATCCCAAAACTTTGGGCTGTCCTCGACTGCTCTCCCAGGCTACAAGCAAGGAGCTGGATGGGAAGCGGGGCCAAGGGGACCAGAACCAGTGACCATATGGGATCCCGGTGTGTTCAAGACAAGGGACTTTAACCGCTACGCTATTGCACCGGGGCCTGTTTGTATGTTTTAAAGATTTACTTTTTTTTTTTTTTTTTAAGATTTTTCTCTATTTTTACACAGAGTCAGATATACAGAGAAGAGGAGAGACAGAGAGGAAGATCTTCCATCCGATGATTCACTCTCCAAGTGAGCGCAACGACCAATGCTATGCCGATCCAAAGCCAGGATCCAGGAACTTCCTCCAGATCTCCCACGTGGGCAGAGGTTGCCAAGCCTTTGGGCCGTCCTCAACTGCTTTCCTAGGTCATAAGCAGGGAGCTGGATGGGAAGTGGAGCTGCTGGGATTAGAACCAGCACCCATATGGGATCCTGGCACGTTCAAGGCAAGGACTTTAGCCGTTAGGCCACGGTGCCAGGCCCAAAGATTTACTTTTATTTCCTTGAAAGGCACAGTGATAGACTCTCCCATCTTCTGACCCACCCCCTAACAGCTATAATAGCCAAGGTTGGGCCAGGCCAAACTAAAAGCCTGAAACTCTACTCATGTCTCCCAAATGGGTGGCAAGGGCTCCTAAGCACCTGCTGCCACCCAGGATGCATTAATAGGAAATTGAATCAGAAGCAGAGATTCTTGCACTTGAACCAAGCACTGGAACATGGACTCTCAGAATTTGAAGCAGTAGCCCAACCCACTAAACAACAGCGCCCAGCCCAACAGTAGGTCTTAAGCAAGGAAACAAAAATTTCTTCTCCTTCAAATGGTCCTTGTTGGTTACCATGCACAACAGGAGAGAGAAGGGATATGACAGCTTGCTTCTGCTCCAGGGGTGGTATCTGCAGCCTTGGTGACTACTCTCAGCAAACTAAAAGATCATTCTAGCAGTTGAGTCAGCCTAGGCTGAAGGGGAGGATGGCAAGTCAGTCAGCAGATGACAGTAGCTGGATCAGGGTGACAGCATAGGAAGAAAAGTAGTTGCTTTGAGATACATTTTACAGATGAAATCAACACTGTACCACAAGTTCAAGTATCTTTTCCTATTGATAAAAATGTCTGCCACACCTATCCTGAGCTCCAGGCGTCTCTTCTTCAATGTTCCACAAACAGCTGCAAGTCAATATATTCCCCCAAATTCATTCATTTTCTTTCTCACTAACCTGAGCTTTTCCCTGTTGATGGCCTGGGAAAGCCTTGGGACCCAGCACCTGTGTGTGAGACCTGGAAAATTCCTAGCTTCAGATCAGCTCAGCTCCAGCTATTGCAGCCACTTGGGGAGTGAACCAGCAGACACATCTTTCTCTCTCTCCTTCTCTCTGTATATCTGCCTTTCTAATAAAAGACAATTTTTTTTTAAATAAAAGATCCCACGTGGAGTTCAATCTCCTCAACCCAGTGCAGTCTTCCTTGGAGCAGGCATTCACACAGTGGTTGGGAAACTAACTGGGATGCCCTCATCCCATCAGACTGCCTTGAGTTCCCACTCCACTCTTGATTCTAGCTTCCTGCTAACATATACCCTGGAAGGCAGTGGGTGATAGCTTCAGGATTTGGTACCTGCCATTCATGTGGGAGATCCTGAGTGAGTTTCAGGCTCCTGGCTTCATTCTATTCCAGCTCTTATTGCTACATGCATTTGGGTAGAGATCTCTGTCTCTTTGCCTTTCAAACAATGTCAAAAAGTGGCCTGTCTCAAATGAACTTCCCCTCAAAGGGAATCCAAACGGAATCAAGAGAAAGAAGGCAGGCAACCTTGCATGAAATCCTATTAGTCTCTCGTGGATGCTGATCAGGAGTGCTTAACGTCTCAGCATTAAGAGCCTACGCATCCAACACGTGACATGTATGACACACCACCCTAAGTCCTCTCTCAATAGCCAGGGTAAGAACAGCGTGCTTTCTGTACAGTCACGCTCTCCTCTCAGCCCCCACCTCCACTCAACTTGTGCTTTTTCACATTTGCTCAGCCTCTGCTCTTCCCACACCTCAGTGAGGGAACGCCTTCCCTTGCTCTTCTAGACCTGTGTCCAAATCCTTTCTTCTGCCAGCCTCAAAGGTCTCGTCTCCTCACAAGCTCAGGATTACTCTAGCCCACTCTTAGCAACTGACTGACTGCGTTTTAACAGATAACTGCCTGTCCTGAGGACATGACAGTTTTACAATGCAGTTTATTCACTAAGCCTAAAACACAGTTCTTGCCTATAAGACAAAAACTATTTTAATAATAGGAAAAGATGAAGCGAGTTGATCTGTTAAATGGCTGGGATTGAACAACGGTTGCAGTTATTTTTCATTTTTCAAAATGTTGCAAGCAAGGCTGAACCCAGGAATGAGGAACTTCATCTGGGACTGCCACGTGGGTGGCAGGGATGCAAATACTTGACACATGGTTTATTGCCTCCCAGGGTGTGCATAAGAAGGAAGCTGAACCAGGAGTCCAGATGGGGCTTGATTCCAAGCCCTCCAATGTGGGATGCAGAATCCTGAGCATTAACTTAACAGCTGGGTCACAACATGTGCCAGTGGCAACAACTTTTTTTTTTTTTTAAGTTAGAAAACAAGAACCTAATTGCAGATGAAAAAGAGTTCTGAGGGATGTGTCAAAGTTAGGCCTGTGAGATCAGAGCTTTCTTCATACAAGGGCAGACTGGATTCTGAGAAACTGACTCATGCCACTGAAACACAAAAACCTGAAATGTCAGCGGATTGGATGTATGGGAAATATAGGGTTCAAATTACTGGAACAATCATATGTGATACCCAGGACACCCCGCACTGCATTCCTCATTTTTAGGCTTATGGAAAGCCAGTGTCATAATCAGAAAACAGACTGTTGGGGGTTCCTACAAGAGGAGCACTCATCACACAGCAGCCATTTCTTGAACTAAGTCCACTGGACCTGAGCTGTGCAAGCACCAACCACAAATCAGACAATTTTTTAAGTTCAGTTAGACATTTAAAGTAAAATCAGAGATACAGTATCTTTTTTTAAAGTGCTGTGATATCTGATAAGATACTTTTTTATTCTTGTTTGGGGGCTGTGCTTTAAAGAAAAAGTTTCTAAAGACAAACGTTTTCCCAGGGGCTTCAAATCAGTGTTGTTCAGTTCTTTACACAGAAGTCCCCTCCCCCTGCTCAGAAATGTCTAGAGAAAGTGTCACTGCCTCAGGCAATGTGGGCCTCCTAACATTATTTCAGACTTAATACAACTTAGACCTCCTCTTAATCGTTATCTTTCAAAAGAAACTGCTTAGTATGAAAGTTGGGAGGTACCAGACCTCACAAACATCAAACATTCCCTAAGGGCCTTAGTGAGCTTTATTACATCAGCCATGACTTTAAAAAAAGGTAGGAGGTGTTTTCTTAAGAGTCTATTATTTAAATGTGTTGCTTTCCATCACATAAAAAAATTAAAAAAAAAAATGCTTGTGGAAGGAACTGCTGTTCATGTTGCATTACTTTCCTCATTCATTCATCCAATAGATGTTTATGGAGTGGCTAATAAATGGCAGTTACTGTAACTAAAATGATGAACTAGACTGAGATCTTGGTCAAGGATTTCATAACCTAGAGACTAAGCAGTCACAATCATATGAGCTGTGAACCTCAAAGCATCCTGAGCAAACTTAACAGGCAGCAGGCTTGAAGCAAATGCAATACACTCTTACCTCTCATTCCTTTCATTTCCTTTTCATGAGGAAATATTCACCGCAATGAAAAGAAAGGAAATGAAATTTAGATGTCTTTCACTTCCAGACAACAATCCAAACTCATCCACACAGAAGGAAAGACCTCCTC